AGGACTTTGTAGAGCTATCACTGTTATTTCCCTGGAGAGAACCCGGAAACCCTGAGTAGCGTACACTGGTGGGAAGCTGAGATAGACTTTGCCTCTCTCGTTGCCCAGCCTCTCGTGGCAGTCAGATCCAGGGGGCAGCTCAGAGCAATCCATCTACGAATCTGAAGCTCTTACCAGATCCGCTTCTTTGACATATTGGCCTCAGGCATCCAACCTCCAAATTGAGAAACAAATACTTGACGCTTGTTGACCTCATGGCCTATGTTGTTTTTGAAGTCCGTATTTCAGTTTTTAGCAGTGTTGGTGCTTCTTAACTAATTAATTTTGTTTTATTGCTTTATTTATTTTATGAGACAGAGTCTTTTGTAAATCAGGCCAGCCTCAGACTTGCTACTTAATTATCATCTTGAACTCTTAAATCATCTGCCTCCACCTCCCAATTTCTGGGATTGCAATTACATGTCACCACAGTCAGCTGGTTTATAGTGTTCGTTATAATAGACCTAGACCCGGACTGTGTTGCTTGTGCGGTACTGTGGCATGCTGTTTCAGAGTAATACACTCACCCTTAACCAGGTTGGAAATAGTATTGTTCTCCTTTGAAGCATCTCAGTGTGTGGCCAGGGTGGTGTCCAGGCTGTGAAGGGAGTAAATTGGCTGCTGCATCTACTGATGCACAGGTGTTTGAATAAACTCACATGCTGCATGGATGGCTGGCGTTGTGGTCTGTGGTGTCCGTGGAGGATACTTATGGGGAAGGGAAGGCATGAGGAAATGGCTCTCATCCCCATGTACATCTTGGCACTGTGATTGGCATCGACGAGAGTATTACCCTGCCTGAACATTCTTCTGCCGGAGGCCAAAGGGACAAGGAGGGCCATCTGCAGAGTCTCAAAACACAGAAGCCTAGTCTCCTCTTTCCTTCTGGCAAACAGAAATGCACAGACTTGAGGCAAGGATGTGAATGCAGCACTGATGGCATGCCTGGGCCTGCTGTCCACACGCTGTGCCAGTAAGCTGAGTAGATCAGCTGGGTGTGAGTATAACTAGGGAACAATGGCCTGGCCAGAGGAGCAAAGACACTACTCTGGTTCTTTTTGGAGCAGCTTTTCAGGGAAAGGAGATGGGCTTGACTGTACGCAACTCATGGCCTTGTGGAAGAGAAATGTCTACAGGCTCACTTATGCCACCTTCCCACAAGATCCTTTTGAGTTTGGGACTGAAATTAACTCAGAACCCCACTTGGTAGGAGACTGAAGTCTGCTTACATTGTACATCATGGATGGTCAGGTGAGGAGAACTTGGACACAGGGTCATGGGTATGGCGCCTTGGCAGGCAGGGCTGTCAGCTGGGGTCAAAGGACAAAGGGTCATGGCTGGGGTATACATGGTAAACAGGAGTGTATTGTTGATAGATTCTAGCATGTAAAAGCAAAGGTTATTAGTCTATTAAAGAGAATATGACCCTGGATTAAATATGACACGGACTTCTCCAAAGGGTCCTGTTTTCTTTTTTTTCTCTCTCAGTGAGTCTTATAATTTGCACATGTGTGTCATTATTACACAATACCCCAATCCTACTTTATCTTAGTTTGAGTAGCTCAGGAGCAATGATAACTGATCACTGTGTGCTTCACTTCAGTGTGATGACTGGTGGGAGTACTCCATGAATATTTGCTAAAAGAATGCAAACTTGGCTGGACCACAACTTGTAGAAAAGCTTTGTGTGATGCACTGTGGAGTTGTGGGTTGGCTCTCTGTGTTGTGCGCTGAACATCTTTGTCGGCAGAAAGCCCCTGTGGATGCAAACTGCCGGCTTGTATATGTAGGAGTGTGCACACGTGTCTATATGAGCAGGAGGCTGCATGCTGTGGTGGGAAGGTATGGGAGACCTTGCCACCTGACCATTTCTGACGGGAGAAGAGGAGATCCAAATGGAGAGTGGCAGCATCCGCCTGGTCCTGGAATTCCTTTGCAGCCTGGCTTGCATCACTGTGCTGCCGGGTGGTGGCTGGCTGCTGCTTGTTGATTACAGTTTAAAGCACTGTGCTTTGGTCCCATGCTGCTACACAGCAAGGAAATCCAGTGTCACTCTAATGAGGTTTCTGTCCAGACTCTAGAAAGAAGAAAGGCTTTTAATTAGATTGGTAGTAATTGAGATCCCAAACCACAGAAGTATCTCTCAGGAGAGGAAGGCACAAATGCAATTAAAAGAAGAAAAGGCACCTGAATGGAACTCTAACGAACTCTTAGTCTATTAGTAACAACAGCTTCCTAATAACTTAAGGCAAACAGATATACGTCCTGGAGAACTCAGCAGTGCTCCCAGTAACGTTGGGGAACTGATCAGGAATGGGAGCATTGCTTCGATTAAAGTGTATATAGCTCTACCAGGGAGCATTTGCTCATCTTGGAACATGGAACATGTTAACCTGCAATGGTTTACCACTAAATACTGTGGCACATTTAGTAGATGTACTCTTGCTTTGATCAAACTAAGTTTCTTTTGGGCTTCTGTCCTGGTATGGGATACCATGGTACTTTGTCCCATGTCCATCCACAGAGAGCCCAGTCTTTCTCAGACTTACCCACCACACCTTCGTAGGTACCTAGTAGATGAGCATCTGAACACAGGGGCATCTATGTACCAAATTCTTGCTGTGAATTCCTTAATAGTAGCTACATTTTGATTTTCACAAGGGGTAGTATTCAATTCTCATGTGCATTCCTAGCCACTCAGTGCGCCCTGGAAGTTGTCCTATGCTTTTATGTTAAGGATCAGGTTTGAGTGTGTGTTTCTCAGTGAACAAAACCAGGCATTTCCGGGTACAAGAATTAAAGGTATCCACTTCTGGTCAGGTCTTCATGACTATTTTCCCTGAGGGTATTGGTTGCTAGTTTTCAGAATTCTTTAGGTTGGAATTCAGGATTCCAAACTGTCTTACAACATTCTCCGTATAACTTGTCTTCTTATATAGTTTTAATTGAAATTTTTTCTTCTGTGTTAAGGGTATTTTGTTTGCATGTGTGTATGTATACTTCTTGTTTGCCAAGTAACCAGGAAGGGCAGAAGAGGACCTGGATCCCCTGGAACTGGAGTTACAGATTGTTGTAAGCTGCCGTGTGGGTGCTGGGAATAGAACCCGAGTCTTCCAGAAGAGCAGCCATTAACTACCGAATGCACTTTTTAGTCCCCCTACTTGCAGCTGTGTTAAGCTGACACAGATGGATGAAAAGAGGGCTGGTGGCATGTCATTTAGAAAGACCTGGTTTGATGAGACTCCTTTAGATGCTGTCAGCTTGCTGTTACTAGAATAACACCTTGAATAATCAACTTATTTTTAAAAAGGGGTTGGCTCACTGTTTTTGAGTTCCTAGTCTTTAAGTAGTTGGTCATTGCTTTTGGCTTGTAGCAGGACAGCACATCATGGTGGAAGCCTGTGGCAGAGGAGAACTCCTCACTCACGGCCAGGAAGGGAAAAGGAAGAGGAAGAAGGGGCTGGCATCTTAATGTACCTGGAAAATGCATGCACCACTTCACCCGAGAACCCATCTTGTACTACCATCTCCCAGTAATGCCAAGGTTGAGATGGTGTCTCTAGCATATGGGCTTTCAGAGGAGACTTAAGACTTAAGGTGGATAGATAAAGATAGAGCAGTGTTTGGGGGAAAAACCTGAGACCCACCTCATAGGAAAGAGCCAACCCTAATGATATTAATGATACTCTGCTATGCTTACAGACAGGAGCCTAGCATAGCTGTCCTCTGGGAGGCTCCACCCAGAAGTAGATTGAAACAGATGCTGAGATTCACAGCCAAACACTGGGTGAAGTGTAGGGAGACTTGTGGAAAAGTGGGGGGGAGAATAGAAGGACCTGGAGGTGACAGGAGCTCCTCAAGAAGACCAATAAAGCCAACTTACTAGGGACCAGAGAGGCTTGTGGAGACTGAAGCACTAACTGAGGACCATGCATAGACTGGACCTATGCCCCATACACAGATGTAGCAGACAGGCAGCTCACGTGAGTTCCTTACTGAGGGGAGTGGAGGGGTTGGGGATCTCTCTGACATGAACTCCGTTGCTTGCTTTTTGATCATTGCCCCTAGCAGGGCTGCCTCCCCAGGCCAACTGGACTCACTTAGTTCAGATTCAACCTGGTGAGCTGCGGTGGGTGGGTTCGACTCTCCTTTTCTGAGGAATAAGGAAGGGTGGGAGGGAGGAAGAGGAAGAGCTGGTAGGACTGGCAGGAGAGGAGGGAGGGGGCTACGATCCAGATGTAAAGTGAATAAATAAATACTTTAAAGACTTAAGACCCAAATCTAGGAGATACCTAGTGTCTGAACCAAACCATGGTAGTTGTACTCTCCCAAACACCTGGGTGTTATGTGGACTCAGTTTCTGGCTGGAGTCTATTTTGGAAATGAAGACATGAACTTGAAATCAGAAAGTTAGGAGTGTGTTGAGCGCACTTGTAAGGTTGCCTTACCTTCTTCATCCTTTGTTTACTCAATTTGCATGTATTTACATTAGAGTTGTCAGAGGTCTGTAAGCTGGGTAGACAAAGAGGAAAGCCCAGGCCCATGCAGAGATAAAGCAGTTAAGTGGCCCACTCAGACCCTTAATATGGGTTGGGAGCATCATACACTCATACCTCTTCCTGGCAGGGTTGGGCGGGGGTTGGTTATAAAAAGATAAATTGCCAAGGCCTTAGCTGTCATCATTTCGGATGGTAGGCTGGCCTGATTTTAATTTTCTTCTTTATATTTTGCTGTCCTTTGGAGGTGCTCTGTAATAAATGTGTATTACTTCAGAATAAATAGAAAAGCTTAACTCTGGGGAAATGCTTCTGGCATAGATTTGAAAGTGCCTAGTGCATTCTAATTTCCGCATACAACACTGATCCTAAAAGTCAGATTTATACATGAATAATTGTATCATGGCCGCTTTTGTGAAGCACATAAGCTGTACTTATGTTGCCCGTTTCTTTTTGTTTTTTAAGGATGAGAAGAACCAAGTTTTAACCACCAACATTTGGCTGCAAATGGTAAGTTCAGATAGAACTTACCTGCCTGTTCTTGACCCTTGTGCATGTCTCAAACTGCATGGAAAGAAGTCCCTAAGAGAGCAGAGGCTGGTGCCCTGATCCCACACTGGCCAACTGAGAGGCTTGGAGGACTGCGTGCAGAGTGTTGTGTCAGATAGGATGGAACCAAGGATGTATGTAAGGCTGACACCAACAGGACTCTACACTTGTTGTATTTTATTGCTGGATGATTTCAGGGCATTCAAAACATTCCATGCCAGAGAAATAATCAGATGCTGGGCCACATCTAGAGATCAATGGCCTGTGCTGCAGCTCCCTAGCTTATAAGCCCCTTTCCTGTTATCTATGCTGCCCAGAGCTGCATGTCTGATGGAGACTGAGGGATCCTTAGCCATGATGTTCACACTCCATGCTCTAGACTGAGACTTTTTAAGACTCTTAAGAGGAGACAGAGGTTGAGCACCCATGATTTCAAAGTCCACAATCAGAAAATGCTCTGAAGCACAAAACATTTTGATTGTTTCACATATTGAGGTTTTGGGATTTAGGATTTTCAGATTGAAGACACTCATCTGGCAAAATCAATGCAAAGCACTCCAAAATCTCCAGCCCCCTAAACCCCAAACCATTTGGGCTGCTAGCATTTGGGGGAAAAAAGATTCATATTTTATCCTTGAATTTATAATTTGACATGTACATTTCTAATCTGTATTATTTAATTGCAAAATATATCAGTTCTATCAAATTGTAAATATTAGAATGTGAGTTTAAAACTGTCAGAATGTACTTTGGGTGGAGTCTTTATGCCACTGTAATTCTGCACACATAAAATTCTTATAAGCACAGCTCCCTTTATCTCTCTATATTTTACATGGGATCCTTTCCTCCTTGTATCATAATTTCTTGCTTTTTCCTCCCTCTTTCTTTTCCTCTCTTCTTCCTCTTCTTTTAGTTTCTTTCTTTCTTTCTTTTTTTCTCTTTTCTTTTCTTTTCTTTTCTTTTCTTTTCTTTTCCTTTTTCCCCCAGGGCCTTCTTATGTGGATCAGGCTGACTTTGAACTTCTAGTCCTCCTGCATCACCATTTAGTCTCTGTGAGTGGAGGCAAGTGTCACCGTGTGTACTTGTGCACTTGAATTTCTAGTGCATTTTTAAAATAGGATTGTGTCCTATTCTAAAAATTTATATTTGAAACTCCTTCATTAATTATTCTAGTTGGATTTCTCTGAAATGTAAATATTTATGTATCATCATTCCTTTAGGCCATAGTACATAAAAAAAAATCTGAACTGATTTAAGGATGCTATTAATAGCATATAACTCACCAAAGTTTAATCTGGAGGTGCACTGAGCTACAGAAGAGCCCTCTTACTGAGCTCTCTGTAATAACAGTGTAGAGCTTTGGAGATAGTCCTATGCAGGTGTTTAAACAGCGCAGCCTACATTCTTCTGGTCTCCTTTGTTTATGCCAAGATGTATGATGTCTGGGAAGGCCCACTGCATCCTTCAGGACACTCATTCCACCCCTCCCATTCTGCCCTCTTATACAGTCATCTTAATCTGGCTAAATGGCAGCCTATCTGTTAAGATCAGGGATCTCATCCATCCCCCTTGCCCCTAGGGCTCCTGCCTTTTATGTTGAGCCCTTTAGCAAACTCTGGTAGCTCAACTTTCAAAACAGAGTCTAGATCTAATCATTGATCCCCAGCCCATGGCTGCCTCCTATTCTGTCTTTCTCGGTACTACTTTCTCACTACTGCCATCAGTGTAGTCACAGCCAGCCACCCTGTTCCACCCTTTAGTTTCTCTGGTCACATCTGTTCTCACATAGCAGCCAGAGTGACCTAAGTGAAAATGAATGCTCCTAGGCTCAGATCCCTCCCCTTCTGAGGGCCCTGGTCTCCCTGGAGAACCCAAGAGCTGAAGACAGTGAGGTTTCTTCCCTGCTTATCTCTTCTCTCTTACATTCCCTCTGCATTCTTATTTCTTGCTCTGCTTCCTGCTGTCTTGATGTTATCCACACATGTTGCTCAAGATTGGCTTGGGATTTTGCAGGCAGTGCTCCCCCTACCTAGAAAGCCACTTAATGGGTTCCCTTGCAGTCTTTCATTATCTTCCCAAACACCACCTCTTCACTTGCTTCTTCCCAACCTTCCCATGCTGTATTCAGTCTACTCTGTTTGTTGTGTCTCCCCTATCTCTTTTCACTGCTGTGAACAGAAGAGCATGCTAGACAAATGCTCTACCACTGAGCTATGTTCCAGCTCCTAATTTATTCTCTTTAGTGCTCTTTTTTTCCCAAGGAACTTCTCACCCTCTGATACAATGTCCACTTGTCCATGTGCTCCTTGCCTCTAGGTTTCTCTCCTTCTGTCTAGTAACAGCTATCTGTGCTGGGGTTAAGCTCCACTGTACCTCCAGATCCTAGCCCACTGCCTCACCTTCAGTAGGTAGTACAAGAGATACAGAATAACTTTTGTTGAAGAAATGAAGAAACCCAAAACCCTACGTTAACCGGGGGCAGAAGTAACAAGTATGATCCAAAATAAAGCCAACTCCCTCTTCACAATGGGATGCTAGAAGTTAAAGTTCTGGAAACTCTGGGAGATTATGACTGTTTTCCAAGATCTGTGAGAAAAAGAAAACAACAAAACAAAACAAAACAAGAGCTTTTGATCTTTCCTTCTTCCCTTCCTTCTTCCCTCCTTCCCTTCTTCTCTCTCTTTCTTTTCTTCCTCCTTCCTTTCTTTCTTCCTTCCTTTCTTCCTTCATTTTTTTTCTTCCTAATTTTCTCTCTCTGTAGCACTGGTTAGCTAGGTGCTTCCTGTGTAGCTCAGGATGGCATTGAACTTGAGGTGATTCTCCTGCTTTATATCCCAAGTGCTGCTATTGTACCCCACTATGCCAGTCTATATAGAAACATGTGCCGTGGACAGAAAGACAAATATCTGTCCCTGTGCCCACCTCCCTGGTCCTCAAAATTTCATTGCTCTACAGGAATGTCTCAGATTTGGCAAGTGGTTTTTAAAGGGAGATGGTTTACAGAAAAATTATAACAGGACTAAGTTCAGACATTCCATGAATAAACACCCATTCTCTGAAGGGTATCACTAGAGATCTTTAGTATTCTTTGAAGCAAGTTTTAGTTTTAATTAAGAGTTGCATTTGCAGAAATGTATAGAGTTTCACTTTTAAAATCCCATTTACCTATTGAACTCACCACTGGGAGTGCCTACTTTGTGGAAGGCATTGACCATAGCCATGGGAGAGCACTTAGAAATGTATTAGCCACATTTCCTCTTTCAGCCTTTTACAATCAGGCTGTGCAATTAACTCATTTAAAGAAAGGTTAAGCACTGGGAGATGATAAATGTTTGAGGAGATGGGATGCTAATTACCCTGATGTGATCGTTATACATTATATACATGTACCTTATTATCAGTCTGTACTTATTAATATGTTCAGTTTTGTGTCAGCTGATATTTTGGTTAATCACAAAAATAAAAAGGTCATCGTAGCAAATACAAACATTTCTCTGGAATAGTGTAAGAATGGGTGGAGATGCAGAGGAGGCCACAGGTGGGAACAGTAGTTCTGCTTTATCAAAATGGAAGTCTTCTGAAGGGAAGACGTGCATGTTGGCACTACTGTGTGTCGCTGCATCGTTGCAGCCTACCCAAGTAAGCCTTTTCCTAAGTAGACTGTTCTGTTAAAGACTGGGTCATGACACTGATCTGGAAAGTGATACCGGAGGTTGTGGAGAGCTATGACACTGTCTGTCCATAGCAGACTCCCAAGAATATTGTGTTTGAAACAAATATAAACAGTCAAGTATGAAATCCCATGTTTCTGTGCTCTTGCCTCAGCCTGACATTGCTTTGAGTAAGTCTTGGTCACAGGATGGACACTGGGCCTTACATGTCATGAGGGGCAGGTATAGGAGCTTCTTTGGGACATTTGATCCATTGATTCTTACTTGTGCATTCCCTGGCTACTCATCTGCCTGGCCCAACCCAGCCTTGGTATCGGACATGGATGTGAATGAAGCTCAATATTGAAGACAGCAGGGCCAGAGCTCCCAGGGGAACATCCGTGAGGGCAGGATTGTCAGGGAATGGTTTTTAGCAGTGGGTTTCAGTTTCTGCAGCTTCATTTCACTGAGTTCTATTCTGAAATCTAATCCACATAATCTTTTCTCCAGGGTGTTTCAGCTCTGAAGTCAATTTTCTGCAAATTATAGATTTTTCAATCCAGTCAAAATGGCAGAGTCACAAAAGTTTTTTAAAAATTAAATTCTCCTTGACCTACCCCTTGTGGATTTTGTTATCCTTTTTCCCAGCTGTCTTTCATTTCGCATGATTGAGATTATTCCAACAGCCTGAAGAATATTGAGTTGCTGATCTCCGAGAGTCTCTTTCTCTCCTGGGAGGAAGCTGGTGGGAGATGTCTTCTGCAGAGGTTTTATCATTTTGGGAGGCTGTTAGACATCTTTGATCTACTGCGTGGGAATAGATGATAGAGGGCATTTCAGCTTCTAGAGAAGCACTGGAACCTTTCATATGTACACATTTGATTTTTAAAATCCTCTTTCTCTTCTTTAGAATATCAGCTGTCCTGCCTTCTAATTTTCATCTTTCTAAACTTATTCTCTATTTTTGGGCTTCTAATTCTAATTATAGTAATAATAGCTCTCACATCGCAGAATATTAGATTGTAAACCATAATTAGTTCTAAACTGCTTCCTTTTTAATTTTCTGCATTTATTATCTGTGGAGCAGAAATACCACACATTGTGTTTACACATTAGCCATGAGTAGGCTGCTGGGGGCTGGACTGCAGCTGGGACAAGGTAGGTGACACTGGGTATCACAGAGACAGAAAAATGTCAGTAGGAAAGAGTGGAAGGGACTCACATTCTTCCTTTGAGTCAAAATACTTGATCAGGAGACTTTTTCTGCAAATTGGGTGATGTTTTCTGACACCAATTATGTGATTCATTTTTAACACCAATAGCAAATCTCTAACCCAGCTGGATATTAATTTTAATTCGACTTTGATAATATCTACCTTGAGTTAATATCTGATTCTGTAAGCTTAAAGACTGTGTCCCATGAGACTGTTCCTACATCAGAAATACATGCATTGCAAATGTGTTGTTCTGGATACCATGATGGTCACACTGACTCCAACCTAAGGGTTATACAGCCTTGGGTTCTGTGCTTTCCTAAGATGGCCAGCTCTTTCAGGTACACATTTACTTGGCTTGTCCTAAAGGGTGCGGCTCAGAAGCAGGTGTGGCAAAGGTGATAGGGCAGGTATTGAGTGAGGAGTGACCCTGCTTCTCACGACATGCCACGCTTCTGTGCAGCCCACGTGTGCACTCACCTGAAACTTCACTGTGCTTTGTCCCAGAAGTTGTCTCCCTCAATATCCAACCCCACCTCCCAAATCTGGACTTGAGAATGAGATGGGTTTTAGCATCCCCACTCTGGTGAGGTACTTTGTCTTTATGGAATTCAGCTTTCTTCCTGAAACTGTAGGGAGGTCCAGCCCCCAGACTGCTACATTAGCACAAAGATGTGGTCCAGAGGATGATTTTAGCAAAAAATAATCCTGCCACTCAGTAAGTTACAAGAGTTTAAGGAACTCCATACAAAGAAATCCAAATATGTTTCTCATTTTGTTGCAATATATTTTGAAAGGAAACGCTATTTTCTTTCTAAAAAATTATATATTTTGAGAATTTCCTGCATTTGTATTGTGTATTTATATCATTTCCAACCCTCCTTCCTCCAACTCTGTGTCTTTGCCTATTCCTCTTTAAATTACTGACTTCTTATGCTTTAATTATTACAAATACACATATACACAGAGACAGAGAAGAAAGAGAGAGGAAGGGAAAGTGGGAGAGAGAAACAGACAGAAACAGAGAACACAAGTGAAATTTACTGGGCTTATTTACTGTTGCTCATATGTCTATATGTGTTCAAGGCTGATCACTGGAGATTAGATAACCTATCAGGCCACTGGTCCCTGGAGAAAACTAGTTTTCTCTCTTGCAGCAAAATGGTGCTCTGTGGGGTTTTCTACATCTTGGCATTGCAATGAGTGATGTTAAGATCTCTGCCCCATCTTCAGTGATGTTCTTTGAGCCTTAGGTATAGGGATTGTTTTGTAGGTGTATCAGGCGGGGTTAGAAACATCACCACCAGTTTTTTTTTTTTTTTTTCCTGCATTTTGGGTTGTTGTGGGTTTCTGTGATGGATTCTGTCTGCTTCAGGGAAGGAATACATGCATTGCAAATGTGTTGTTCTGGATACCCATGATGGTCACACTGACCATCATGAGGGAAGAGAGATACACTTATCTGTGAGTGCAAGGCAAGTATTTAGAATGCAATTAGAAAATATACCAGTTTAGACATACAGCAGTAGTAGGTTCTTCTTTAGGGTTCATGATCTCACTAGCCATTGGTTAGCTGGCTAGGTTTCCAGTACTGGCCATGAATTTCCTCCTATTGAATGGGTTTTCAGTCTAATTATAGAGCTATTGGTTACTCCCAAGGTATGAGTGCCACTATTTTAGCATTGAGGCTATCTTGCCTTGCTGGTTATTGTTGTGGTTCTCAGGCTTTACACCTGGGTAGGTATGTTGATTGTTTTTCTTCCTTAGAGAGCACCTTCTTATACTATGAGAGCTAGTCATCAATGAGGAGGCTTCCAGATTGGTTCTAACTTGATACCTCTAAGTCCTATGTCCAACCAAAGTGTGTGCTATCTTCAGAAATGCATTTTGCCTTCATGCTCTGAGAGGCAACCAAGAGCAACATCAATAATTTATATTGTTTGGGGCATTTCTTGGACTCCCTTGAGAGTACACATCCATCCTTCTAAAATCTAATGGCAAGGACCTCATTCCACATTTTTGCCTAGGAAGTCTCCAGTAGGCTCCCATGTTGTGTTAGCAATTCTTGCTGCATCCCCCATGCTTTTTACACCATTGTTTGTATCTCAAATATTGGAGATACTGTAGCCCTGTGTCATGTTTTGTTCTAGAAAGTGAAAGCATTGTTTTCTAAATTCCTGTTTTGCCTGAACGATTTTGAAGAACCAGCCGTGAGACAGCTTAGAGGTTCAGTTAACTTGAGTTCTGGTAATACAGTTGAGTCTTGACTCATCGAGCACTGTAAATATGGAGCTTTCAGAGCCTCCTCTCCTCTCCCTTTCTTCACACTGAGAAGCTTGTGATCTAGAAGGCACACACACAGTGTTAAACAGGCAAAATAGCAGTGATGTCACCTGCCACAAGGCTATGGAGCACCCACAGCCATGTACTCAGAAGCCAAGGGATGGGGGAAAGAAGGTAGGTCTGAAGCAGTTCTGACATGGTACCACTAGGTGGTCTTAAGTTTAAACAACTAAGTGATCCCATTCTCTGACTTTCCCATTCCTCAGGCTTAGGAGATGGGTCCTTGGCTATAGTGCCAGCATGCCTTCAATGGTAGTTCTTAGAACCTTAGCCCCTGTGGGTGCAATAATGGCCACCATGCTTAGTCCAGAGCAGCATCTCAGGGTTAAGAATAAGGTGAAAGTGTTTTGATACCAAAGTAGAGGAGAGAGATGAAAGGGAAAATAGAGCCAAGTACATCCAGATGGAGCAGCCTGTTACAAACATGTTTTGGTTGGTTCCCCGGGGGCTCTCAGCAAGCCATTTGAATGATCCAGAATTTCTCAGTGTTCCATTCTTTATAGATCTCATCAACTGTGGACGCTGTAGGGCAGGTGTTGATGTTCCAGTGGTGCTGCTGCATACTGAGTTAATTTAACATTCTTGTTTGCTGAGGTCCCTGGTTGTGAATAGCCCCTAGTCTCTGACTTTAGATTACTCTGGTTCTGAACTAGACTTTTAGAGGTCCTTCAAAGAATGGCTAGATCTTTGAGGCCTGTCCCTGGATCTTCATTGCCAAAATTGGTAGCTGTAGACCCACAATACTCATCTGTACACCCCAATTCCAATAGCTCTGACAATTTGGTTTCTTCTCCTTGAATATTGATGTATAACTTCAGACCAAACTCATGTGGTAAGAAATCAAATAGAGCATTTATGTGTCTCTTAGCCCAAATATGTAGATAAATTTCAGGGCACAAATGAGAATGCATTTTATTGTGAGGAACATTCTGGTTCTAGATGGAGGTATAGCACCCCAAACCTTCCTATGTCTTTGAAAGTCTGAATCTTGCCACATAAATATGAGCAGGGACACATTAGAGTTGGTTGTCCTTTTGGTACCAGCCCTGAGATCCAATGGGGCAAAGCTGTTTGTCTCCTGGTAGGTGAAGGACTTCATGGTGATACCTCTGCAGTCTTGGCCCTGGGAATGGCTGGAGGTAGCTGGTTATTAAAAGGACTGTCGGCCTTTCTGGGGGTGAAGATCACTCTAGAGGGCCTGACTGTGAGTTGCTAAACTCATGAGTTCCCCTGAGTTCTTATCCCTCTATCTGTGTTCTGTCAGGGTTTAGGGCGTCAGCTTGTTGTATCAAAAGCACTGTCTGTAAGACAAAATCAGAAATCATATTTAAGTGTGCCCTCAGAAATTCTGAGAGGGTCTGCTTTATGGAAACACATGACTCGCATTTCTGTAGTTTTAGTTTTAATTCCAGTTGCAATAAGTGGATTTATTCTTTTCAAAATGCCCTTTCAGGAAAACTTGGAAAGCTGACTCATTATTCATTTGACTAGAAGTAACCAGTCCATGGAGGGTGGAGAAGCCTAGGGCTGGTGGTGAGCGAGTTGGAATTAGCTTTAATACCTCCATATGAATATGGTCATTGTGACAGCATGTCCTCAAATGCATTTTATCCTATTCTGGACCATTTTAGAAGGGATTATTTAATTTTCAGTTTCCTTATACTTTAGAGGTAGCAACTCAGCTATAGAATAATGCCTGAACTCTTTCTGGCTTTAAACTTTCCTAATAATTTCTTACGAGAAATAGAGGACCAGGGAAGAAAATGCTGCTAATGTTCCCTCTTTGTCAGTCTTGGACAGATCACTATTTGCAGTGGAACATGTCTGAGTACCCCGGAGTAAAGAATGTTCGTTTCCCGGATGGCCAGATTTGGAAACCAGACATTCTCCTCTATAACAGGTAAGCACGTCTGACAGATGGGAAATGATCTTCACTTGCGTGCATGTAGCGACAAAGCGTATTTGAGTATTTTGCAGAAAAGCTGTCTGTGTTGTCTTTAATTTGGAGCCATTGGTCCTTGTGAGACTTTCCAAGGGGCAGGTCTCTAGGAGGCTGCCCTGTCCCTCTGCTGGTATTTGCTGTATTTGCATGTAAGTTCACTTTGCCCCACCTGCTGCCACAGGTCCCCTATCCAAGGGACTGCTCTATAGATACATGAGATTGTTCTCCACTTACAGGAACATAAAGCATTCTTAAAACAGTGCCTTTGCTATCTCTGAATGCCAGCCATTAAAATCTACAGCAGAAGGTGCTGTATAGAATATGTGTAATGGAGACTACAGTTTAGGCCTAAGTTCTCATTTGATTTGACCCCCACTTTGCACTAGCTATCTGTTGCGTTTTGGTTGAGTCCCTACAGAACATCCTTCTCTCAGAAGCATGTGCATAGACCGAGGAAGATCTCTAAAAGGCAGGTAATGTTGATGGCAGTCATGATTTTTATCTTAGGGGCAAAAAGTAAAGGATTTATTTGTAATTCAAGACAATGTGATTTGCAGACCAGATGACCAAAAAGCAATCTCTAGACAGGTTTAAGTTTTAGAAATAGTAAAATTCCTTGTAATGGTTGTGTAGCCTAGTAAGACAACTTTGTTCATCTCTATTCTAAACAGGATGGCCAGTATGATGTCCTGCAGAAGGGAAGGTTCCTAAAGATCTGTGTCTTTGTAAAGAGAAAAACCCAGATGTTCCTGACTTAGAACACTGTGACTGTCCACTACTGCTCAGGAATGCCTCAGAGAAGCCTCAGGGCAGCTGATATGTTCTACTTGTACTTGCTATTTCCAAAAGCCTAGGCAGTTCAATTTCCCGTATTTGGACTTAATTGCTTTCTGCCTTTCTCTTGAATTGCTGAATGTGCTGCTTAAAGAAAACATCCTCCTCATTTGCTTCTAAAAGAAAGTTCAGATAACTGAGCTTGTGGGATGTCCAGAGTCGGAATGAGTGGTCCTTTACTGAGTGGGTGAAGCAGCTGAGCTTTGGGTCATCATTTCCTGGAGACTGTGCTGATATTCCGGTTCTGCTGTGAAATAGCACCATGGGTCACTGTCTTAAACAGCAGACAATGTGTGTTCATGGTTCTGGAGGACAGATGACTGGGCTGAAGGTATAGCCAGGCTTCGCTTCTGAATCTTTCTACTGGGGTTCTAAGTGTCAGCCTTCTTGCTATTTCTATACATGGTCTCCTGCTTGTGTCCTAATGTCTTGTCAAAACACTAGTCAAGGTGAACTAATGACCTCATTAACTTTAAATGCTGTGTGTGTGTGTGTGTGTGTGTTCGGCTCTTGTTAACTAGTGAAAGCTAGCCTAGAACTTGTTACCTTCCTTCCTCCACTTTTCTTAAATGCTGGGATTCCTAACTCTTTCTGGACCTGTCTCTAAATACAGTACAGTCATATATCCAGGTAGTAGGGCTTAGAATTTCAACGTAAAAATGTGTGGGAAAACAATTTAGAATTTTAAAGAAAACTTCTGTAGTGCATACAGCATACCCACTAGGGTCCTAGGCCCAGGGAGGCCATTCAGTACCAACATTCAGAGGCAGCTGTGTATTTATAAGTGGGTGTTAATAGATGATGTCATCTATAAATTAAAACCGTGTTTTATAGTTCCTGCTGAGTTTTATCTGAAAGTATGAATATGTTTTCTAATACAGTAGAATCTCAATAAAGAGGCAATGAGCGATGGTTTTATGGTTGTGTATAAGGATGTTAGCTCTAAAACATGAAGTGTTTGATGATCCCAAACTTCTGGGTAATTGAGAGTTACTAATTATTTTATATAATTAATTTCAAGGATCACAGGCAGAGCAGCTTCTACCTGACATGGCACCAGGCTCTAGGAATGTGTGCCCTACAGAACACAAACATAATCGAAGCTGCTTCCCTGTTATTTTCTCCACATGCCTGTTAAACATATCATCAGTGTCCCTCATGGAGCTCAGAGGGGACACCTTAATTTTTGCTTTAGTTTTTCTAAGCAATTAATGTTATTGTTTGAATCTGAAGTCTCTAACACAGGCTTATATTTTGAAAGCTTATTCTACAGTTGGTAGTGCTGTTATGGGAAATTCTGGAAACTTTGGGAAGTGGACCCCGCTGGAAGAAATATGTCACTGTGACGGGGGTCCTTCAGGGTATACTCCTGCCCATTGTCTTTGCTTACTGGTCTCCTAAAACATGAAGAACTGTGCTCTGCCAGAAGCTCCTGAAGCCAATGTGTTCTGTTCAGTCTCTTAGACCCAAACAGCCATGAACTGAACCTTCTGAAATGGTGAGCCAAAAGAAGTAGCTCCTTCCTTTAGTTGTTTCAGATCTTTGGGCCACTCCAATACCAAAGTCACTAATGTAGTGAGATGTGCAAGTTCTGTGATGAATCAGGTGCTAGATATCTGGCTTTTATACCCACATAAGCTGAATGTAAAGTACACAGATTATACAGACATTTATTTAAGCTAGTCAGAGACTTGTGTCATTTTCCTATTGGTACAAAACAAACAAACAAAAACCTCCTGCAAACTGAGTGGCTTGATGCTTTGGATGTCTGTTCCACGTAGCATTGGAATACTGCAGTTACTGGGACTGAGTAACACACTACTAGCTTGGGCAGCTGGCAGGGAATGGCAGCCATGGCTCAGGGTTTTGTGTGGGCTGAGGTCCACACCACCTTGGTTTTATTCCTGTGTCCTTTACCACAAGTCCGAGTGTCCCCTGCTTGGTGACTGGAGGTACTGTAAGAAGTCAGATGTAGCCCATAGCAGTTTAGTGTCCAAGTGGGTTACATAGTAATGGGAAGAGGGACTGCCTCTGACATAATCTGATTGGCCTGTTCTTTGATCATCTCCCCCTGAGGTGGGAACAGCCTTACCAGGCCACAGAGGATGACAATGCAGCCACTCCTGATGGAAGGAGAGGAGGACCTTCTCTATCAGTGGACTTGGGGAGGGGCATGTGTGAAGAAGGGGGTGGGAGGGTGGGATCGGGATGGGAGAAGGGAGGGGCTTATGGGGGGATACAAAGTGAATAAAGTATAATTAATAAAAATAAAAATAAAAAAAAGAAGTCAGTGAGAGCTGCCATTCATATAAGACAGAAGTTCTATAGCAGCCACTCAGATAGGGACTCTGGTCCTTTTGTCCCCCAAACCTTCAATAAAACTTGCAGAGTTTTACCCATTTTTTAAAAGTTGGTATGTGATAGCTATTCTCCTGAGCTCACATCTGCCTCCTCCTCCCGTATGTTCAAGAGAAGGGGGCTGATTTCACTTCCCTTGACTGTTCTCCATAAGTGTCCTTTTCTTTTCACATGTGCAATGTGGCATGTATACTACCCTCAATTCATATATACGTGTGTGTGTGTGTGTGTGTGTGTGTGTGTGTGTATAGCAAAAAGGATAAATAAAATAAAGGAAAGATACTGCAAAAGATAGATAAAATAAAGGAAAGAAATAGCAGTAGCAAAACAGAAAAAAAAATCTGAAAGACTTGAAAAATCAGTACTAGAGATAGCAAACACAAGCTTTTCTTCAGTAAAATACTGACCTTTTGGTATTTTATACTGGGTGATTTTGAGAGAAGTAAACTTAATTCTTTCTGTCTGTTTCAGGCACTCAGAATACTTTGTTCTGCCCATAGACATACTGTGTTCCATTTAGACATAGATGAAGATGTAGGGGCTATTCCCAAAGAGAGAGGTTAAGATGCCATCATTCTTGGAGCTAACATTGGAGCATCTGGAGATGTTTCACAACCATAGCAAATTTCTTGTTCCTGTTCGGTGCCTAAGTCCATGTGTGTAACAGTATAATTTTGAGATCTAATGCAGTTTCCCATGCTTAAGAGGCTGGTTTACTCCAAAGGAGCTATTTCTGCGCCTTTTCTAGAATGGGCTGATGCATGTTTCTTGGTGGATGGGGAAGCTCTGAGGATGGGCGTTAATACGAGCTCTGCTGGTGCTGATTCCAGTAGTTTCTCTATCACTTTATTCTGCTTCCTTTAGAGACGTCAGCTCAAGGATTTTTCTGAACACAATCTAGCTCAAAATGAGTAACAATTACAGATGGCTTGTCATGGTTTCCCCTTTTTGGATGGAGTTAAATGCCTTGCTGTTGTTAGCAGTCACCTCACACAAGAGAATTCTGTATTGTGACATACAGGTGGCCCCTGCCCCATGCAAGCACAAACAACTGTCTCAGCCTCCCTAGGATTTTTTTTAATTACCTAGGAAAAGAAAATTTCAGTAATAATGGGAAACTTTTAATGAATATAACTTAAAGATATGTTTGGTAGCTCAGATTTCAAGAGCGGCACTGGTGTTCAGGCATATCTTTCAGCGATTGTGTGGGGTTATGTTTGCACATTTGTAGGCAAATATTTTTCTTTCCATATTCCTGGGACCACTTGGTTAATGGCAAACCTATGGAGATAACTGTGTGCTCCAACCTGTTACAGTTTCTCATAGTGCTAGTGAATGACACATTATTGGAACTGGTTGTTTACTCCCCTGAAGATCCTTAAATTCCTCTAGAATGAACTCAAGGCTGCAATATTAGTACATGTGGTTTATTTGAGAAATGATGCCAAGAAGTACTGGGTAGGAGGGCAAATGTGAGGAATACGTGGTGAAAAGCGAACTGCTGGGCCTTGCCTGCTAAGAAGTGCCATGTGGTCATCTCACACTGTTCTGGGACAGCTAGGGCTAAGGTTTGTACAAAGCTGCTCGCTCCCTGGAACCTTTGGATAGCTTGCCCCCATACATGGACCAGAAAGCCTCTAAAGAGCCAGCTGTCAAGACCTTTGATGTAGGAAAAATAGTTGTCATTGTTGTTTCCTAAATTCTACCCTCAAAGTCCAGTCTCCCCGTTCCTTCCCCCAGCATGGGTATGGACCTAAGCTTGGCTT